CTGGCTGCGGGGCTCCTGTACGGCCCGCGCCTTCTGCTTCCCCTGTGTTTATTCCCATCCCTTCCCCGCAGGCGGAAAATCTGCTCTGCCGGCTGCAGGAGAATTTTCAGGCTCTGACGGAAAAGTTAACGCTGAGAAATATCCTCTTTGGAACGTGGGGTACCCGAGGTTGGATTTCGGACCCCGTGGCTGGGGCCCCCTGGGCGCTGATGGGTGCGGGCGGGGTCCTTGCTTCTAACAGGGGATGGGCTTCTTTCTTAAACATCAAATTAGCGTAGAGTAAGTGACATGGCTAAACACCTATGACGTGAAGGCACCTGACTTTCCCCCCCCCCCCAAGCCTGTTTATATATCCCTTTTTCTAAAGAAATCCTAAAAAATGTTTTACTGCAAGTAGCAAGGTAATGTCTGTGCAACAATTGTGAGTTTCAAGTAAAACAAGCATCGATGTGTAAAGATTCTGGAGGTGCATTTAAAAAAAATGCAACTTGAACAAGCCACGGTTTAAAAGCTGTTGGCCCGAGCATGACAAGGTGAGGCCTCAAAAGGAGAAAATCAGACCTGAAGGGGCTCTGAGCTTTCTCATTACATGTACTTAGAGAAACTACCTCTGCTTTCTGAAGCATTTATTAAATTTTTTATTCAGAAATTTAACCTTCCAGGAAGCAGCTGCTTCCTGAATGTTGGTATAGCACTCATATTCTGATCGTGTAGGTTAACTGCATGGTATCACCTAAAATAATTCCTCAGAAAAAAAGCAGTCTCTTACACAGTTCATTCACGAATATTTGCAAAGGCTTTTGATACTAAGAATTTGAAGGCTTATTTATCTGTCCTTAGAGGATGTGGGATTCTGTTCTAACAATACCATCTTGTGCATGCTTCATCTTGCATTAAACTTGAACAAGTAAAAGGCTGGCACATCTGGAACACATTTTGTTTTTCTTACAGAAGGAAAAAACCTGTAAAATTGTAGAACTCTTATTGATAAATAAGTTATCTTTAACTTTTTACTGGAAGAAATGGGTGAGCGCATCAATGACCTTGAGAAGCGTGTTGCTGACCTGATGACAGAGGCTGGGGTAGAAAACAGCAATGAAGAGTTGGGAGTAAAGACATTTACTTAAGTTTTTCTGTTTTATACATTTCCACTTAGTTTTGAGTGATGGGTGAGTAATGGTGTTTACATATTTAGTATACCTGCATTTTCTTGGATTTGAAAGTGTAGTTTTTAAAAATATATTTAATATACATTGGATTTTTTTTCTGCCAAGAGCCAAAGAATGCAACCACTTTTGCAAAAGAAAAACTGTCTCTTGCAGCTTCTGTTCCACCTGAGCACCATATACAAGGGGGTAGTGCTAACTCACCCCAAGTGTGTAAACAGAGGCTGTCCATTCCTAGTGAAATGTGTGTGGCTTGAAGTGCTCCTGTCCACCATTCCTGTCCCTCAGGTATGCCAACCTAGCTGAGGATTCTTGCTGGTGTAAATTTATCTACCTCTGCTTTTAAACCTGCTACAGCTTGCCAGTGTGGCTTGGAGCACAGCTCTCACATGCACTCACCCTAAACACAGCAGTAAATTATAGTCAATCACTTTATAATTATGCTACATTTCAGGATTGTGTTCTGGATTTTATATCCATCTGTTGCAAATGCTACCCTGATGGATGCCTGACTCTGTGCTCTTAGTATTTATGAGGCAGCACTGCTTCCATGTTCTGTGGATGCAAGTGATGGTGTCTTCCTGATTCAAACTGAGACACATCAATTATTCTTGTCATTGGAACCTCTTACCCAGCGAAAGACATGAATGTCTGTAAATATTCTGAAGTAATTTAGGTATCTATTAATTCTGATGCCTTTTGCACAAGGTACGCAGTAATTTTCAGAAATGCAGAAAGACAATAAAGATGTATTCAAGTGTACAGAGATCTTCCTATCTCCATGCTGAATCATATTCATGAATAAATCACTAACCTACTTATTCTCTGTATCTTTGCAGGACTGAAATGAGGATGTGTTTGAGGAGGATTAAAGGGAGAACAGCACAGCACTGACTCTGAGATTCTACAGTCAAGTGTCACACTGACAAAAAATGTTAAGAGAAAACAAATGTGTTTGCATCATGTCATAACAGAACCTTGAAAAAAAGATTTTAAACTATTTCTCCAGGAAAAAAATAGAAAGCTGTGTTTGTTCATCGAAGTGGGGCACTGCATTTCCTGAAGCTGATAAAGAACTGTTAGTTTCAGAGAAGGCAAAGCCACTATTTTGCATAGAAAACTATATCCTATATAGTGAACTTACCCAATCACAAATGTTTTCAATGTATGAAAATGTATTTATTTCAATATTAAAATAATATTTGTTGCCTTTTTAGCTTGTATGCTCTTAGCATAAACCATTCTGTATTAAAAAGATGACAGTATTTGCAGGCTACAACTGCTTAGTTTTTGCTCTTTGCACAAGCCCACCCAAAGCTGTCCACACCAGTGCAGGTAACATCACCCAGGTATTTATACTGTGACCATTTCAGTTCTTTAATGTTACCTGTTTTGATGAAAACAGTTTATTTTATTTAAAGACCTGGAAATAGATGAGGAATTCTAGTTACCAAGCATGTCCAGAAGAAGAAATTGGTAGTTGGAAAAAAGGACATCTGCACTAATTTTAAAGTGGTTGTACACCAAAGCATTGGTACTGTTTGCAGGGAAGATTTAGTTTGAAATATAATGGGAACCTTTTACCATAAATGCAGAAACTGAAGCATTGCCAGGTTCACAGAATACCTCAGCTAATGAGGGAGAAATGCTTCTATTACAGACTTCATTAATATCAAAAAATCATTCCAATTACTGCTTTAATCAGTGTAGACATGCACGTACTGTCAGACTGGGGGAGAGATTAGTATGCTGGAGGACAGGCTGGAGAAATGGGCCAGCAGGACCTTGATGAAGTTCAAAATGCCAAGCTGGGCAGGTGTGAGGGGCTGGCTGGCACTGCTCTGCAGGAAAGGGGTCTGGTGGAAAGGCTGACTGAGTAGGCACGGTGCCCAGGCTGCAGCAACTCACTGGTCAGTGTTAGCACAATAGGGCCAGCAAGTTGTTCACCTTGCTGGGACACCACACCCACAATATTCTGTCAATTTGGGGGCTCCCCAGTGTAAGAGATGCAGTGGTGAGAGGGAGGTAAAACACAGCCACCAAGATATAGTGGAATACAGCAAATACAAGGTTTGGGAGAAATCTGTTAGTCCAGCCTTAAGAAACAGCCGTGGCTTCTTGCTGCCAACCACTATCCTGTGGCAGAGCACGGGGAACAGACACTTGTTGGAGATGTTGTAAACCAGGGTTACTCGACTCAAGCTGAAACACAGAAAACACCAGCCAGATGCAGGGAACACCTTTTTCAACTATGAAGAGGCTCAAGCAGCAGACCGTCCAAAAAGGCTGAGGAACCTTCATCCTTAGAGAATGTGGAATCATCTAGGATGGATGACACCTTGAGGGTCATCTAGTTCAACCAAGATACTCAACACTAGACACAATCCTGGGCAAACTCACCATGTGAAACCTATGACTGGGAGGCTAATGGTCCCTTCCAACATAAATTATTCCAAAATCAATTAAACCAGAAAAAAAAAACAAAACAGAAAAACACCCCCAGATTAACTTGAGCAGAAAATGAGACCTTTTTGTTTTACTTCCTTCACACTTTCTAAATCCTCTACAACATGGTAGTAGAAGTAAATTCTTTGTCTTGTAACTGAAAAAACTTGAGGTAAATAAGTGGAACTCAGCTTTATTCTTTTTTTTAAAAAAACAACTATAATATAGTTTTCTCAGATACTTGTGTAATAAAGGCAAACAAAACCAGTTGAAATATTTTTCTGCAAACAGGCTTTTTGTGTACAAAATTATGTAATACCAAGAGGACAACAAAGGAGAAAGTCTTAAAAAAAGAAAACCCCAAAATTCAGCTACAGTATTACTGCAGCCAAGACAGTTTGAGGGTTTGAGGCTTCTACTTCTCAAACAGAATTAAAATATTTTAAATAATTTAAATTATGCTCAAAATTCAAGGACTTGTAGGTTTTTTTTCCTTTTAATATACATATATGTACACACATACACAGAAATAAATTTAAGTGGACATAGGATTATGAAAAAAGGCAGCCCAAAGAAACATCAGTATCTGTATTTAGTGGAATAATCTTTCGGCGATACCACCAAACCTCGACCTTTGCGGGCTCCTCTATAAACAGTTTCTATAATGTCAATCATCTCCTGCTTATCTTCCATTGCCCAGTTGATCTTGTTGTTATTGCCTGTACCTAAATCAATCATGATGTGTTTGTTCCTTTAAAGAGGAAGAACAAAAACACAAGTTAATACGGTATTCCAATTCTGTAAGAAATCTTATAAACCCCCCCAGTGCTTTGTAGGATCAGAGGAAGCCCTTGTAACATAACCAGGCTTGCAAAACAAGCATTAAAGGAAGAATATCCCCTCCTCTCACACAAGCTGACATTTTACCACCAATTTTTAAAGCAAGAGTAAGGACTCCAAACTTTCCTCCAAAATGGCTACTCAGTGCAATTATCCTTCAGCATATTCCTTATTGTTTGTATTTCTTTGCCACCACTGTCTGTATCCAGAGAGACTTCCATGCCTGTCAGTAGAACATTTAACCTCATCAATATAGAAACCTTAACTACAAAAAAACCTTACTACTTTTGATTTGTCTTGAAAGCAAGTCTGGCAAGCTTGACTGCTGTATTACTACAGCATTCTCTACAAGAAGTTTGAGATTCAAAACTATGAACAATGGATAATAAACCATTTTTGGTTAGTGAAAACCATAGTTTTCACTATCACTAATTTGCACTCTATTATCAAACACTCTTACCAGGCTAATTGGAAAATAAGCCACTTTCCTATATAATCAGTTTACTCTTCTGTAGAGCAATGAAAACACAGGCATCAGTGTGCTGCTATGCATTTGGAAACTATCTGCTGAGACACTGTATTTGACAAACAAAGTTTAAATGGAAGTTTACATTCCAGAACTATCACTTACCTGAAGAAAAACATGACGGTACACGGATCATACAACTCGTACATCTTGTTGAAGTCTGGTACTTCTGTGATGTCCACAAGATAAATAACAGCAAAGTTTTTAACCTAAACAGAAGAAAACAGGAAATACAAAAGCAGTATGTATTACCAACTAAAAGACATAAGCTTTCATTATTGTAAGATTTATTTTCCAAATTATTAAGTCATAAAATCAGAATAAACAGCCTTGCTTTTATTGTTAACCACAATAACCAGTTAACATAGAAAATATTTTTCAATCTAGCCAAGAAGCTTATTTCACAACCAGTGTCAACTGGAAAGATACCATGCTAAATCAACATCCAAAGGAACAAATGTCCTTTATATAGAACTGAGAACTCACAGTAACATGCACAGCTCTAAACAAGTAAAATAACTGCTTTGTGCAAGCCAAGCTGACACATTTTGCCTCTGTCATCAGCTGCTTATGGACTTCAGAAAATTAATGATCTACAATGCCCTGGTGCCTGCCTCCAAGCATTTTTCCCCTCTATAACGTCAAATTTATCTAACAAGACTCATTAAATGAAAAGGAAACTTATAATTAAATTTAAAAACTGATAGCTTTCTTTGAGAGGTGCAAAGCTAAAACTTAAAAGTGTAATTGCTAAAGAAATAAAGATCTTGATGAGAAGCTATTGTCTGGACAATTCTGGTAAAACTGGCTTTCATTTTGCAGAGCTACTCAGTTAGATGCAAAAGAATCCCTCCCCTCTAGTGTCACAGTCAATGCCTTCATTCCTGCAAGAAAACCAGGTCACATTTTTGTTTCCCAGATGGAGAATACTTGTCATTAAGTGGAATCAGGGGGAGTTTTGGTTTCTAAACACAGCTCCTAAGTACACATTAGAAATTAACACACTCACACACATTACATTTTAAGTCAGAAGTCATCCAAATTGCACAAGCATTCAACTGTAAGGTATATTATCAAATGCTCATGCAGTACACCAGGAGTGCACAATTGTGCCTCCCCATCCTCAGTTACCTGCTAACACAATTTTGGTCCCTCCCATTTGACTGCCCAGAATTACCAGCCTGAGGTTAACACACATGGTCTAAAACCTATGACAAACTCACTGCTCATGACAGTACTTCCTACATGTTAATTTTGCTATCATAAGTCTGGAAATGCTATGATGAGTATAATATCTGCCTGATGGAACAATATTTTATTTTAGTTCACAGAGCAGGATTAGTTTGTATGAGAAAAACATGATACATTGTGTAGCCTGTACATAAACATCCTAGCAAGCACTTTACTGAGAAAGTATGAAGATGTTTATTCACCAAAAAAACCCTCAGAAGCACAGAGTAAATAATTTTTTATGGACTTCTGCTTCAAGACAGTTTCAAAATTATAAAAAATAATCACACTTCAAGAATGTAAGTAAGTATTACTAGCAAAGAAAATAAAATCTCTTCTGGAGTGAAACAGCATTTAAAAATTTTACTGTGCTTTTATGGAGCCAGTTATAGTCCTAGATTCAGTCAATATTCTAATGAAAATGTCCCATTTAAGCCACGTTCTAAATTAGGCAAGAGGTAAAGCCTTGTAAGCTAAAACAGTCGTAATATCAAAGCCTCTGAAGGGATCCTTCACACCCATTTCAATTTACATTAAAGACTTCTAAGAACCTTAATGGGATGTTCAGAGTCAACACAATTAAGCCCAGAAGTGACTGAAGCTACTCCCTGGTGAGCCCTGGCAGGCAAAAGATAATTGTGGGGGTTTTGGTCCTTTTTTTTAGAAAACAAAACACCCGAGGAGCCATTTTCATTTAATTCTATTATTACTTCTTCCACCCTGCTGGCATTTTTAGCATCAGCAGCACACCTTCACCATGTGGGGAAATTTCTACAACATGTTCAGCAATTTTGACAGAGCACAACATCTTTAAACAATTACTTCATTTGGAGGTTGGAAAATTATTCTAAGGTAAACCTAGAATTAATAAAACACTCTTAGGACCTGTTTTGTCTGGTGAAAGATTAGTCCAAGATTTACATGTTGCACCAGAATACCACTCCAAAAGCACTCCTAAATCAAAATTTTACTTTCAAGAACTCTGTACTCCAGGTAGTACTGGAACAAAAAAACCTTTTAAAGTTAGTTTGACATTATAAGCATTTAATTTAGTTGAGCTGTTGCAGAACCAGAAATGCTTGTCACTAGCAGTGATCATCAACTGCCTAGGATTTCATACATGAGAAACAGACTATACAAGTCTTAATTTGTTATATAAATACTACTAAAAAGGACTGGATCACTCAAATCATCTTTGCACAGCCCATGTGCAAGTCATCACCAGAATCCAAGCATGCAAGACATTAATTAAATCTTCCTTCTCTCTGACCTACTTTTATAGAAGTGAAACTGATGACAGTCGCCCGCTTAAAAGCTCATATTAAGTCTAAAGCAGACCATAAAGCTGGACTCAAATTTGAAATCAAAACTTTACAAGTGGCTCTGTTCTTTACCCCTTGCTTTTCTGATTTCAAATTTGGCAAGATTGCCACTCCAAAATGAGTTAGCTCACAAGCTCATTGAATGAGGGTGTGCTTTGTTGAGTTTGGACACTGGCTGCCAAGGATAGCAACAGGAGATTGGGATTCAGGCCTGAGGCGGGACTAGATAAACACATGGAGAAGGTGAAGCAGAAGAACTGCAGTGGCCTATTTAATGTTCAGGGGCTGGGAAATTTAATGTGCCAGGCTGGGCAAGCTTGTCACCAAGAGGCATTTTATTTCAACATGAGACAAGCCTTGCAGAGACTCTCTTTTTGCACAGTATTGACCAGTTTTAGAGCCTGAAGGAGCAGCTCCTGTTTCAGACACAGTACTTGAGCCAAGACAGCAGCAGTACAGAGCAGCATCTGAGCTGGCTTCACACACAGCCAGCTCTAATTCACAAAGCTTTAGCTCAGGCTTTGATTTAAGCAAAAGCAATGGAAGTATTTATGGATTCAGACTGCTGTGGATGTGCATGGTTTGTGGAGACAAGCCAAAGGTTGACCTCTCCCTGCTGGGACGTGAATCCATCGCTCAGAGCTGTCAGCTAAAAACCCACGTTCCTGTACAAAATCAGCTTTGCTACCATGTCAAGGCAGTGGCTGCTAACAAGTTTTCTTTCTGACTTGGAGGTTTTAACTGAGGATACAGTATGGACACCTCAGAACTAGAATAAAATGCAACTCTAAACAAGCAAACCCCACTAAATACAAGCAGTTGCAGTAGTTACAAAGGAGACTACACTGAGTTTGTTCTTAGAAACAAAAATTTTACTGTAGAGACTATGAAAAAAACCTTGTCTTTTAGAAGTTGAACGCATGATAACAAGTTTATTCTGAAAGTGCTTATCCTCATAACGTACACGAAAGTAAATGTGTTGTAGTAAGTCAACTGCTTTCTGCAGAAAAACAAAATCAAAACTCTAGTAAGAGACCTCCTTCTGGGCAGCACCTAACTTGTGCAACAACTGAAAATAAAAGCATTTTCAGAGACAGATATTAACTATTTCTGATACTCCTGACTTCCCTTAACTGTCAACTCAAAACTTTCTCTGCCTTACCAGGCCATTGGAGCTGCTGTTCATGGGAACAGGATAGAGTAGAAAACGTAAGTCAAACAGCAGCATGAATTCAGAATTTTGTGACTTGCTTTCAAAGGCTGGGCTTCAATTTTGGTGGTTGTTTTCCCCCTTTTCCCCAATGATGGTAGCTTCATAAATCAGTCTAACCAATCTACATTGCTGAACATGCCTGCAGAAGTACATTACTGCCTGGCCACAGGTCCAGGCTGTCTTAATACTTCACAGAACTGTATCTGCCTGAGGACTGCCATGAAATATTTAAACTGAATGGCTCAAGACTATAAAGCAGAGGAATCTATCAGACTTTTAACATCAGATAAAGATTCTGTATCCTGTCTCCATGAAGTTCACACATTTTGCTAGTAAACAGGAAACACAGATGTAGGAAAAATCATATGCCACAGGATTCATTTGTCCTCTGAAGTTATCCTCCCTGACTTTCTTTATAAACATTACCCTTCCAAAAAATAAGTAAATTGATTCCTACAACATGAGATTGACACAGAAATATGATTAATGACTAGGATGAATGACTAAAGTCCCGAACTTTCTTGAAATTTCTGTCAGAGGCAATACCCTTTTTTTTTTCAGTTGTTAAGATTTCAGCTGCCTCTGAAAAGCAACCCTTACAGCCCAAATACCTAAGGAAATCTGAAACAAGATCTAAGATTCCGTCTTCTCATATTCCTAACCAGTTTCTAGACTGTGTTAGACTGTGTTTAGAAGAACAGAATTCTATTTAATGGACAAGAAACTCACAGGAAAAAAAATATACAGGAATTGAGACTAGCTTTTGCAACAAATTACTCAAATTGAAGGTGGCTGGCAGACTTGCATTTCTGAACAGAGCAAGTACAAACCTGAAAGTCTGCACAGGCAATATTTATTTGATTTTTTTCTTCTTGCTAATTATGCTGTCAGTTTAGGTGAAAAATTTCTAGGGGAAAAGAGAAAGACGTTATACTGCCAAGAGGAGCGCTTACAGCTAATGATTTTGAAAACTACAGACATCAGTAAACGGATTAACTTTGCTTTTCATTACAAACACCAGTAGCTGTAATACCTATATGCTTTTTTTAATAGCTACCTCTTTTTCTCTGCCCCATCTTCTTTTCCTCTCCCACTTTTCATGTACCCTTAGCAGAAATGCACAGGCACAACTAATGTTTGAGGACAAGCCACAGCTATTCACACTTCTGATTATGGTTAAACAAATGCACAACATTTGAAAAATCCTCACTAAGCACACAGTGATCCAATACAACAATTACCTGATTTACACTATTCAGTCAT